GACTTTTCAGGTATTGCATTCGATGGTCTGGAACGGAGGGGTCTGGCACGGAATTCGGGGACTTGATCCGGAGCTCTGGATCGGGGTCTGGATCGGGATGTGCGATCGCCCTTGTTCCGGACCTTTCATACTGAGCGGTAGCCATATATGCCCAAAAGGGGCCCATAATATTGAGAACAACCCATATGAGGATTCTACAGGACTGCGCAAGGATTGATCGCGCCAATTTTCAAATTACTTAAAAGGGCATCAGAGAAGTGCAAGGAAGTACTGGCCTTGCCGCACTTGACGAAGACTTTTGCAATGTCGTCTTCTGTTGCGCTGTAAGGAAGGTTCTTCACAAAGAGCCGGCCTAGATGAGGTGGAGCAGGCTCTGGATAGTTGGAAGGATTGCTGCGCTATGGTGTGCAATGCCAATGGAAGCCCTAAACCCTAAACCAAAGATCTCAAGCATGCTGGTTCTCATTCTTTGGGCCAGTCTCTTCACTGAGGCTTTAGCGCTTTCCCTCGAGGTCCTCCGCTGATGGAGCGGACCTGCCTGTCAGGCACCCAAAGGTTATTTCTTAAAACAGGGTTCCCCCTTGTATACGCCCAAACAGCAGGATTATGTAGGATCCTTGCTATAGGGACCTTCAAAAGCAACGGGACCCACAATCCCTGGGAAATGTCCATAGCTCTGAGGATTGAAGGCGCTAGTTCGCCTCAAGTCCTCAGTGATGCATCTTATGCTGAAAATGAACATTCCAGCAATGGTAGTAGTGGTAGCAGGTGCATGAACAGCAGTGAACAAGCATTGTCAAGCTACTGCTCCTTTGCGGGCCTTCACCTGGCTCTTTTGCAGGCTCGATCTTCAGGTAGCGGCCCTTCGCCAGCAGGGACACCAACAAGAACGCCTTGCTATCTACTATCATATGCTCGCACTACCAGCACGTGGGTCAAAACAAGCACAGTTGCAGTAACAGTCCGTGCGAGCATTGCTGGTCAGTCAGGAATCACAGACATCGAAACACCTCACGACACTGAGACTGGCAAAGTTTCACGGGGATCTTCCTAAATGCTTTCTGTGTGTTCCCATACTTGTGGCTGTACGATTCTGCAAGATGCAAGTGTCAGGGGCCCTCATGTTCAAAGCATCCACCAATCCCACATGGTCCCTATCTACTCCCCAAAAGAACTCTCCATGATTCCCTCCTCACCCTGAGATACCTCACCATGGCCTTCTTGCCCACTTTGGTCCCGTTCAGTGTGAGTGCTTTGTCTCGGCTCTTCCCGCTTCCGAGCACCACGTGGGCATAGCCTCCTGGCACCCCCACGGACAGTGACACCGATGATGTCGATGACAATGACGTGCATGATGCTACTACTGCTAGTACTTCTCTGTTCCTCTACCAAGCCACCATGACACCTCATAGTACTGCTACTTATGCTGCTACTTAGAATACTGCTACCACTGCCACTACTACCACGACCACTACAGCCACCACTACTAATTATGTACTACCTCCACCACCACCGCCCGCCGCTGCCACCACCGTCGCCACCACCGCTGCCACCACCGCCGCCGCCACCGTCACTGCCACCGCCACGACCACGACCACCACCACGACGACCACCACGACGAGGACCACCATGATGACGACCACCACGACCATGACCACGACGACGACGACGACGACCACGACGACGACGACGACAACAACAACAACAACTACTACTACTAGTACTACTACTACTACTACTACTAGTGCTAGTTCTTCCGGTTCTTCTATGTTCTTCTCCTCTGCAATCAGCCTTAGTACCATTCTCTTCTGCTGTTTTGCAGATCTGCCAAGCTCCGCGCTCAGACGCCCGGAGTCTTGCCAGACGGGTGCCCGCACTTCGGTCACCTCACCTGCGGGTGGCGTATGGGGCTTTGCATGGTAGGTGGAAAGAATCCAAGGCAGGAGCCACACTTCTGGCGAAAGAACTCGGTCAGTTTCTCTGCCGACCAATCCTTGTTTCAAGAGCATTCAAGAGCTTCACCAGACAAGGAGTGCAGATTAAGTCCGCGCTTGACCGCATGATTGCACATGCTGTTGCAGGGACATCCCTGGAATCTAGCCGGGACCTAGATGTCATCTTTGGTGGCTCGGTTCCTACTTGAACCACCATTGTTCCTTTTGATGGGTGCTCAAGTATAGGTCTATGTGGTTCTGGAGTGTATGATTTGGAGGGCCATCACTCAATGTTAAGGAATATTTGAAGCTGGAATCTTCAGCTAATGTATCTGCATCTCCTTCCAAGCATAATCATTTCCCCAACATGAAGCACCCCCTCTTAACAATAAACAGGGTCGCCAGTGCGTATGCCTATACATATACACATATAGACATATATGTATATATTTATGGGGCTACTTCAAAGCCCCTTCAATCCTGGCGCTGCAGATGCGTTTAGTAGTAGGGAAGGTTGATTACTTGTTCGTCAAGTGTGGCTTGAATGTCATGACGGGACACGGACAAGCCGGTTTCAGCTGACCCATTTCACTATTTCTAGTCTCCCCATCTTGACACCCTGTGTATACTCTTACGTACACTAATAATGAAAACTAATGATGAAAGCCCTCCCTGGCTACGAGGTTCAGGGTAAAAGCCTTCCTGAGCCCAAGTGAGGAAAAGCTTGAGCTCCCAGATGGGTGGTTTCTCGAAAAAGTCTGGGTACCTTTCAAAACTCACGGGCCACCCCCGTAAGGGATTAGGGGGAAATATCTCAAAATGAGCCCTAGAGAATCCTTTGCAGGGGCTCCACACTTATCCTTGGGGTCCACCACGGTACCCCTGCTTTAAAGATCTACGTTTGGGAACATGCATGATGAGATTAATTGCCTTAACCTCAAAAAGTAGGTAAAACAATGGCCCAGCGAATCGCAAAGAGCCACCCAGGCCCTTGCTCTCCATACTTTGCGGCTTCAGTTTAGGGTTTAGGGTGGGTATCTAAGGTTTAGGGTTTACACTAGACCCTATTATCATAGGGTTGAGTATTTGACGTTTGAGGTCAGGGTGGGTCCAAGGAGACAACCGAATTGAAAAGCACACGAACTTTCACTGATCGCCCCTACCAGGCCCCCCAACGTCTGGGCTTCGGGAATCTGAGAGGGGCTTCAACCAAGACTGTGAAGCATGTTACTCTTGCACGTTATTACAGTTATTACTATTAATACGCAGTACCATGATTACGATTTTTGCTATCCCTAACCCTAAACCAAGAACCCGAACCGTCCTAACCTGACAGGCCTGAGGGTCGAGGACCTTTAGTGAGGAGCAGAGTTTTCAGCTGAACGCATTCGGGGTTTTCCCAAAATTAGGGGTCCCCTTTGGGATTCCCCGTAATGAGGACTATACCGTTTAGGGGTCTTCATTGGGGTCTCCCAACTGAGACTTCTCCCAATTGAGGCTTCAGCTGCTGCTATGCGGACAGGCGCCCTGAGGTGCATACCACAAAGTGGCAAACAAAGAATCTGTAACCTGCAAGTCCCTGAGCTGCTCCTGGGCACGGCTGCTGTCACCACCATACTCAGGATCACCCCAGGTGACCACGAATCCATTTTCTAGAACGGTCGCAAATGCACCTGAACTCGCTTGGATCTGCTGCACGTTCTGTAGCTGCTCCTGAACGGCGCTGCTATCACCACCATACTCAGGATCACCCCAGGTGACCACGGATCCATTGTCCAGGATGGCCGCAAATGCGCCTGTAGTGGCTTGGATCTGCTGCACGTTCCTGAGCTGCTCCTGGACACCGCTGCTGTCGCCACCAAACTGAGGATCACCCCAGGTGACCACGGATCCACTGTCTAGAATGGCCGCAAATGCACATCCAGTAGCCTGGATGCACTGTACATTCCTAAGCTGCTCTTGGACACTGCGGCTGTCACTACCATACTCAGGATCACCCCAGGTGCCCACGGATCCATTGTCCAGAATGGCAGCAAAAGCGCATTCAGTAGCCTGGATGTGCTGTACGTTCTTGAGCTGCTCCTGGACACTGCGGCTGTCACCACCATAGTTCGGATGGCCCCAGCTGATCACGGATCCATTGCCCAGAATGGCAGCAAATGCGCCCTGAGTCGCCTGGATGTGCTGCACGTTCCTGAGCTGCTCCTGGACACCGCTGCTGTCACCACCAAATTGAGGATCACCCCAGGTGACCACGGATCCACTGTCTAGAATGGCCGCAAATGCACATCCAGTAGCCTGGATGCACTGTACATTCCCCAGCTGCTCCTGGACGGTGCTGCCGTCACCACCATACCCAGGATCACCCCAGGTGACCACGGATCCATTGTCCAGAATGGCCGCAAATGCACTTCTAGTCACCTGGATGCGCTGCACGTTCCTGAGCTGTTCCTGGACAGCGCTGCTATTCTCACCTGACTGAGGATCACCCCAGGTGACCACGGATCCATTGTCCAGAATGGCCGCAAATGCGCCTGTAGTCGCCTGGATGTGCTGTACATTCCCGAGCTGCTCCTGGACACTGCTGCTGTCACCACCAAATTGAGGATCACCCCAAGTGACCACAGATCCATTGTCCAGAATAGCAGCAAATGCACCTATCGTCGCCTGGATGCGCTGTACATTCCTAAGCTGCTCTTGGACAGTGCTGCTGTCACTATCATAGCAGGGATAGCCCCACTCGACAACGGATCCATCCCCCATGATGGCAGCAAATCCTCCTGCTCTTCTGGAAGCAAGCATGGTCTGCCGCACTTGCAGGGTCAAGGTATCTCCTGGTTTGAGACCTGCCGCGCCCACCGTCTGGCTATCATCCAGGATTCGACCCTTTGAATCTCGCAGGACCCCCAGGCCGGTCTGCAGGGTTCGTTGGGCCTGCAACTTAACGTATTTCAACGGGCGTTCCAGGCCGGCTGGGACTTGTACTGCTCTTCCGCTTATCAAGGCAACTTGCAGAGACTCACATGCCATGGCATCAGCGGCACGCTTATCCGCCATCAAGTACCTAAAGGACCACGAGAAACAATCCTTGTGCTTGCCGCGCGCTTACGCCCAGCCGTATGGATCCAACAGCTCAATGTAGGTGCAATTCATTGACTTAAGGGGCCAAAGTAGGCAATATCTTTAGAGACCCTAAGAGCAAGAAGTAGTTGGACTTCGGAAGGGCTTGCATAGAAACTACGTGCTTTCGTCCTCACTTTCATGAATCTTGAGCTAAATTTCCACAAGTTCCGTCCCAGGAGCCTCCCCACACAACAAAAGCCTCAGGCAAAATTCTTATGGGGGTTCCCAAAATTAGGGATACAGCTTTTTGGGGGTCCCTATAGTAACGAGTGTAGTATATTGGGGATCTACATAGCCCCTATCTAGGGAAACTACCATGATCCTAGGGACCACAACCTTTACTTCAAAGCCACTGGCCCTAAACCCAAACCCTATTGAACCTGTGAACCACGAAGCTGTACGTACTTCTTATGACGAATTTCGTGCAGCAACTGTAGACATAGCCCAATTTTAGGCACCCTAAGTCAAGCATCCATGGTAAGTAACCCTTAGACAAATCCCTAGGCCCTAAACCCCTCATGTGGGGGAGATCATGCCAACTTCTGGGCTCTCCAGATTTGAATTCAAGACTGGAAGGCCCTAGATGAGGCAGCCACTGGGTTGGAGCTCTTAGCTTGCTTAGCACATGAAGAGGAAATCAAAAGAACAAGACATCAGCGTTGCCCACAGTAGCCACCCATTGATTCCTAAAAAGTGCTCCCGTAGTATGCAGCAGCCTGGTAATCCATATTATGTGCACTCCTAGGGTACCCCTATTTTGCAACACTGCGCACGATGTAGCCATCCTTCATTGAGACTGCTGCATAGGGCACGCCGTCCACGAACACAGTCAGGTTTACACCTGAAAACATGCACAGGGGCTCTAGTCTAAACTCCTTAAAGGGGGATGGGGGACTATTATAGGTTTTATCAAGAGAGTGTCCGACAGTGAGGGCACTCCCTGGGCTTCCTGTAATCGGGGACACTAACTCTGGAGGTATCAAGCTCTTTTGAAAACTAACATATGAGCTATAGTCTACACTCCTGAAAAGGAGGCAATATAGGGGTTATATAGGGACTATACTAGGGCCTCTTAAGGGAGATACTAGGAGTTTAGACTATGGCTCATTTGGCTGCTTCCAAAAAGTGTGGCGGTTCTTGGGCATCGCAAGAAATACGCGGTTTATGGTTTAGGGTAGACGGCTTCAGGGTTGGGAAACACCCATATGAGCCATAATCTAAACTCCTTACAGGGGGCGATATAGGGGATTCTATAAGGGAGTATTATAGGGCTAATTCAGCGGGATACTGGGAGTGTAGACTATAGCTCCTATGAGTAGTGTTCTTTGGTGGTTAAACCAATTAAGACTATACCATTCTCATAAAATGCTATACCCTAAAAAGAGGATTAAACCTTACTCTATGTTGCTGCATACCCATCTAAGATGCCACTCATATGGTGGATGATAGTATTAATCGGATATGGTACTCTCGCAACCCTTAACCTACACTTTTGGTCTGGAGAAAAAGGGGGACCCCATTTGTTACCAAGCATCTTCATCAACGGCCATGACTGCAAAACATGATGAGCACAGCTGCTCGGCGCCTATCGACTTGCTGTCCATGGACACCTGAGAAAACCAAGAAATGGCATGGCACCGCAGCTCGGTGGCGTATCTGGTAGTTTCCAAGAATAAGGGGACCCCAATATAGGCCCCAAAATACTATAACCCTTATTATTGGGACCCCTTAAAGGTACCCTTAATTTGGGAAGTACCCCTACACCCTATAGTAGTTTCCATTTTCTTTTCCATTATCCCAATATAACTCTAATATAACCCCAATATTTGCATGAAGCCAGCCTGCTCCTGCGAAGCGACGGCTTCAGCTGCGGCATTGGCGCCTGCGCGCAGACCATGCCTACTTCCCACAGCCACAAGGTATCCCCCATAGTAACCCCTATAAGGTGGTTTCCCTAAATGAGGGGACCCCAATATAGACCCCAAAATACTACAATCTTTATTCCTCGGACCCCCCAAAGAGGTACCCCTAATTTTGGGAAACTCCCATAATACTCCCCTTCATAATCTGTTAAATAACCCCGGTTAAGGAGTTTAGACTATAGCTCACATGCTACCCAGCCCGGCAGTACGGCATTCTTAGCACTACAAGACCGCTTCCAGGCGCTCCTCCTTTCTTCTGCTTCTTTCGAGCCGGAGAAGCCTGTACCAATCTCGATGTTCCGTGCTCGGAAAGCCAGCGAGACTACAGTTGGAAAGCTGTCACAACATTACTGGTGCTGCCTGAAGCACTTTGAACTTGGAAGGCCTCCTCATCTACTCATGAGAGCAAGCCATTACCGTGTCAGTCCATGGTGCCTTCGTGTTGGAGGCCTCTGCTGCTGCATCAGGCTTACTGCCAGCGTTTCCTCAACCATCTCAGTGTCACAAGCCCAGAACTTCCATGGCTAGTAGACCGGCTCCTGGCTGCTTCTGCTTGGCGGCCTGGATGCTGGACAGATGCTTCGTCAATGACTTGAAGAAAGGAAAGACCCGAGCCCAGCCTTCTTTGAGACCGGCACCTCCTCAGGATCGGCTCCTTGACAGGTCCGGCATCATTTCTGAAAGGTTCATAGAGCTAAAGTGAGCTCGACAGCCTGCTTTTCGCTTGTTAGCCTTTCCCGTCTTCATGGACACCTGACTGTGCAAGCTGCCACCACGAAGCCCAAGATAGTCTCGAGCCAACATCAACACACCTCTGGGCTGAGCAGGGCTGCGCCTCCACATCGGAAGGACCTCTGCAACACTTGGGGGTTTACCAAAGGTCCCTATAACAAGGACTATACTATATTGGGGTCTATATTGGGGTCCCCTTGTTTTGGGAAACTACCACTTGTCGCTTGTAGGCACGGGATGCGTCTTTCGCACTGACCTGCCTCGCCTGAACCCATAACAAGCCTGCTTTGACATCCTGCAAGTGCTCCGCCTCCCTTTTCTTTTTACAGACAACTCTCCGCGTTCTCTCTTCTTTGACGAATTAGAGGAAATGGTTCCGAAAGTGACTAGGTCTGCTAATTGTTTTACCGGCTACCCTGCATAGAAGAAAAGCCTCTCGTTTTCCAGCTTCATCCACTGCCAGCCAGGGGAACTTAACAACAATCTTACTGAGAACGACCCTAACAGCCACAATACTGCGGACAAGATACATACAGTCCCCCTTAAGTAGATAGAACATGGCTTTGGGTTCATTATCATAAGATCCCTATATACCCCATATTCTATCTACTTAAGGGGGACTATAGCTACTGGCTCTTAGGCCTCAACTTTTCTTGAGCTGCTTCTGACCAAGATATTGGCAGCTAGGGGGAAGCACCTTTTTTCCAGGTGTACCAAAATGGGACCCTAATTCTGGGAACTAGCCACTTAGGATCCCTAAGGCCGCGGCTTTTCTGATAAATCCCAAAGCCGGAAAACAAAAGACGCCCGTGAAATGTGATTCCTAAAAACCGACCAAAACCTCAAGCCTTAAACCCTATAAACCCTAAACCTCAAGCCTTAAACCCTACAAACCCTAAACCCTAAACCCCAGCCCTCAACCCTACAAACCCGAAACCCCAAGCGCTCAATCCTACGAACCCTGAACCCCAGCCCTCAACCCTACAAACCCGAAACCCCAAGCGCTCAATCCTACGAACCCTAAAACCCCAGCCCTGAACCCTACAAACCCTAAACCCCAAGCCCTCAACCCTACAAGCCCTAAACCCCAAGCCCTCAACCCTACGAACCCTAAGCCCCCCAAGCCCTGAACCCTACAAACCCTAAGCCCCCCAAGCCCTGAACCCTACAAACGCTTACCATCCCAAACCCTTTGCAAATACCCTTTAAGTCGCTTGCTTAGTAAGTAAGGGATTACAATAGTACCCCGCCCAAAGGTACCCCCCCAGATTTAGAACCCTATTAGGCCTTATTAAGCCGTATACAGTCCTTAGTAGCTCCTTAAGACCTGAAGGAGGTACTTTTTTGGGGGGGTACTATGGCAATTCCTTAAGTAAGTCATCCCACCAAGCCTTGACTCGCTGTTGCCTTCTTTTTCGCCTTCCTTGGCAGAATTAGAGGATTATATGAGCCATAGTCTAAACTCCTTAAAGGGGGCTGTAGAGGGGTTATGTTGGCGACTACTATAGAGCTTAGGAGTTCAAACTATGGATTACATAGGGTTTAGAGTTTAGGCCTAGGGTATACGGATATATTCGGAGGACAAATTGGGATGATAGTATAGGGATATGTCGAGGGAAGATACAGGGATGTAGGGGCGTAATGGAGAACCAAATGGAAAAGACCATGGAACATGCAATGGACACTGGGACTATCGAGTGATTTTGAAGCCCCGATTTATGACAACTACCAAGTGAAAAAGCGGGCAAGGACCCTTTGCATTTGCATTATGGCTGAGGGTTTGAGGTGGATTTGACTGATTAGGACTTCTCAAAACACATACTTGTGGAAACTCTAGAGACATACAGGGGTCTCATTAAGGACTCTTGGTGGTATCTAAAGAAACTCGCAAGTCTCAAGGCACTGCAACCACTCCACAGACGTTCTGGGCCTTTGGGCAAAACCTGCGATTTGGATTTAAGGGCCTAAAGGATCAAAGAATCAGAAGAGCCATAGTCTTAACTCCTAGTATCCCCCCTTAATAGCTCCTATAGTACTCCCCTATATAATCCCCTATATATCCTCAAGGATTTAAACCATGGCTCATATCTGTATATTATGTCTGTATGCCTGTATATATGTATCCCACTAATTATCGCCCTTGCAGTTTACAATGTCCCAAGGAAGGAGCATCATCTCTTGAAATACCCATATCCACACTCTTTTACCCAAGCCAAATGCCGCAAAACCCAGCACTGTAAAACCCAGTCCCTTCAGCTCTGAACTCGTGGGATCTTATCCCGCCCAAGCCTAATAACCCCAGCCCTCAAGAAGGCCCAGCAAGGTCTAACTAAGAGCTGTTTACAACCAAAGCATGCTACCTATAACACAATGATAAGCCCTCTAAGCCCGCTACAACTGGGTTATAAGTACCAAGTCTATTTAGATTAAACTACCCTGAACCTGCAAGTAAACCCCAGCACTACCGTGGGGCTTGAAGCCAGCAGAGCCAGCGGGAGATCAGCTCCTGCACCCCCCATTAGCACCAGGCTACCATGACTGCGTTTGAGGCTTAGTTGCCATTAGCACGGTGGATACTGACATTTTGCATGACTTTAATGTACTAACTACTGTAATTCCCACAATATATGTGTATATATATATATAGGTGGCTTCGGGTCATTCGGGATTTTCGCTTGAACAATATCATGCCTACCTATCCCTCAAACACGCGTCATCTATCCAAAGCTGAACCTGAACTGACAGCCCGAAGCATAAATGCTCCAGACCCTTGGGATTTGAGGGTTCAAGTTTTAAATGGCAGTAGATCAATAGATGCCGATAAAAAATCCCTGCGTGACCCCTAGACTAGTAGCTATATCTGCTCCCCCAATGCCCCTGAAGCATCAGCAAACTTTAACATGGCCCCAAATTCGTGGCAGTCCCCGTACAATAGGCATACTGGCCCTAGGAAACTTTGTGTATCCAAGTATGTTTCAGCCTAGCCTGCTGCTCCTGGGCTTTGTAATGCTTCGACATTGTTATACATACAGGCTCTCCTACGTGTATATACACACAGTTAAATAGTGGAGGCTGTCTGGGGGAGGGTGGTACTTGGGCGAGCTGACGGGTTACTCGCCAGCAACCGGAGGGCTTTTGGCTCCGGAGCTACCTCGCCTGACGGCTTCATTGCATTCGCACTGGTCGACAGCCCCAGGCTCGCTTAGTTAAGGGTTTAGGATTTAGGGCTCAAGGTTTAGGATTTCTAGGCCTTAGGGTTTAGGTTCAAGGGCCTCATCATCTTCGCGCCCAGGCCTGTAGAAGCAGTGCCTAGCCCGGCACAATGACCCATCCCAAACCCCAAGCCCTCTACTTCTGTAGACCCAAAAGCCCTGCCCCCCCAGAAAAAATCAGGGTCCCAAACGACCCTAGAGTACTACACCCCGCCACTGGTCTCTACAAGCCCCCTGTGCCCTTCCTCTGCTTGAGTCTCTGCATCCGTCATGGCTGCGATGTCATTCTGGAAGCACATAGATGCGGCCTAGGGCTTTAGTGATCTAGGCTTTAGGGCTTGGTGTCTCTGATGAAAAGAAAGCCATGTGTCTTTGAATGGGGATGCACCTATAAACAAGGGTGTTGTACCTAATGATTTAGCTTGTTTACCTTTTTAAGGGTCTCAGCCACTGTAGGTAGGGTTTAGGATATGTGACATAGCTAGGTAGGCACGATCGCGCTCTACCTGTGGAAGGGCTTGACTATGAGGAGCTGTAGGCTCGTACCTGGCTATACATTGGATCTTACCTGCCTGGTAACAGAGGGCCGCAATAAACTAGATCCCTGCCGAGACCCCTTACTCTAAACCCTAAACGCTGAACCGGGATATATGGCCCCTAACCATGGGTACGCAGGCCCTCTTTAGCAGAAGGGTCTGACTGAAGGTCGGCACCTTACCCATTTCAGGAGACGCAAGGAGCTTGAGACAGGGAAGGGACGCTATGATTGTCGCAGCTTACTCTGGGCCTCTGAGTGACCCAAAGTAAGTCATCTTCGTGGACTTTGGACTCAAAGTTGTGTTGCTTGTAACCCAGAGCCACGGGCTTCAGCAGAGAGTGTCAAGTTGTAGTTTGTATGAACCCCTGCGTCTTTTTTTGTCTTATAGGCCAGTGCACCGGCTTGACTTATTCTGATGTAGGGTTCAGGGCCTTAAGGTTCGTGGGGACTAGGCAGTATGTCCTCTCTTATGGTTCCTTGGACTAGCGGCCTGCGGGCCATACAACCCTAAACCCTAAACCCAAATCCCCTAAACACTAAACCCTTAACTCAAATCCCCTAAACACTAAACTCAAATCCCGTAAACCCTAAACCCTAAACTCAAATCCCCTAAACCCTAAACTCAAATCCCCTAAACCCTAAACTCAAATCCCCTAAACGCTAAACCCTAAACTCAAATCCCCTAAAACCTATCAGCTTTTGAGGCTTCAAGCTTCTGAAGTGTTGAGTGAATCAATCGGTGGCATTTCTAACCAATCCTCATATTTAGGGTTTAGGGTTTAGGGGATTTGGGTTTAGGGTTTAGGGTTTAGGGTCTAGTCTAAACTCCTAGTATCCCCCTTAGTAATGGAGAATCAAACGGAAAAGAAAATGGAAAATGAAATGGAAACTGAGATTCTATAGGGGATTATAGGGGATTATAGTCTAAACTCCCAGTATCCTCCTTTGTAACCCCTATAGTAATCCCCTATGTGATCCCCTATATAACCCCCTGTAAGGAGTTTAGGCCATAGCTCATATGCCATATTGCACTAGAAGGCACTTCTAGGCATCTTTTTACCTGTGTTACATGAGCAATATTTATGATTAGGGTGGTGGGGAGGGCCTGCCAGACATTTTTATAAATGTCAACAGTTTTGGACTCGACTAAACAGGCCATCCATCTGAGGAGAT